TAGTCTCATTCATATATGACCGACTTTCGACCCTGACTTCTTATACAAACAACGGGGCCAAAATCGGAAGTGTTTGAGCAAGTGCGCAGCATATAATAAGAAATTTGTTTGACTATTACAACGCTTTTTGAATAACACAAGTCGAAAGATACCCGAGCATGAGTGAACTTTTGAACTGTGGTCAGGTTGAAGACAAACCCTATGTGCCTTTGAAACCGAAACCGTTAGAGACATTTAAAAAAAGCCCAAAGTTATTCATAATTTTTAATTTCGGAAATAGCCACAAAAATATTGTCAAAATTAACATTCAGAAAGCTTCTAGTCAAAATAAGGTCTCGAGAAAAAAAGCTGAAAAAACCAATTGTGAATTTTGTTACTCTTTAGTCTTTTTTTCTTTGGAAGAAGTTACTAAGATCTCTTTTCAGTTCCGATATGCCACAAGATGGGACAATTTTTGCCTTTTCATTGGCCTAATATGTGCTATTCTCAGTGGTGTGTCACAGCCTGTATTAGCCTTAGTCAGGTAGGCGTAATACATTAGAAATTCACACATATTTACTGATTATGAATATTTTAGTGGTCGTATCACCAATGTTCTATTGGTTTATCCGCCAACGTCGAAAGAATTCCGTAACAAAGCCTACGAAAACGTATATATATTCCTTGGAATTGGAGTGTTCATTTTTATCACAAATTTTATCCAGGTGACTCAATCAATAAATCAATTTTTACTTGCAGACAACATGAAGAGTTTTCTTCGAAGAAAATCTTACCAAATCCATGCAAAGTTTCTTTTCAATTCTAACATCGATTATAATCTCTTCGATCAATGACTACTACTAATTATGATAATTTCAGTTTATGTGCTTTCATAGCTGTTGCACGCGAATCATAGCCAAAATGCGTCATGAGTATGTACGAGCAATACTGCGTCAAAATGCTGGATGGTTTGACAGGAATCATTCTGGAATGTTGACGACGAAACTAAATGAGTAGGTGCTTAATGAATATACTAGCAAGAAAATGAAAACTTAAAATAAGCCAAGCCTGAATATTGCGGAAAATTTTCAAGTAAAAGTCATTATCTATTTGTATCTGACAATTGATATTTTGTTAGATAATAAGAGGAAATTTGCAATGGGAGCATATATATAAATGGAAAGGATCAGTTCTCGTACAATAAAATTGCAGAAAGATTATAGGTAAAGCCGAGAATAATGAGGGAATCATAGATATTGCTCGCAGGTGATACGATGAATCAAGCGCGCATAGTATTGACTATAACTATACTATGAGAACTGGTCCCCATAATATTTGAATTAATTATTCTCTACACATTGACATTACCTAGAGTAGCGTCACGCATTACAAGTGAAATGGGAACATGGAGTTATTGAAAGATTGTGAGTCAAGGGAATACATGAGAATCTGATGCGAAAACTGATTCTCAGCTCCATATGGTTCACAGACATTCCAATTTTTCTAAATTTATGTTTAATGACAGTGAATAGAGTTCTGCTCAAAACGAAACAGACTAGGACTAGAAATGTCTTCAAAACCTAGCGGGGACCAGTTCTCGCCAAACCTCTCTGGTCTCCCTTTTAAATCGCTTGTTGTTGTGTTAGAATTTTGTCCGTTAAAGATCGAAATATTGAGGAGATGTCTTTTAGCAATATGGAACGAATTCGTGAAGGAATCGGTGATAAACTTGGCCTACTGCTGCGTGGTTGTGCTATGTTCATCGCTGCCGTCATAATTGCATTTATTTACGAATGGCGTCTAGCATTTATGATGCTTGGAGTAGCACCAGCTACCTGCTTTGTCATGTCCTTGATGGCCAG